ATCAATCTTCTATATTTTCATCATTTGCTTACACAGACCACCGCTGTTTTTTTTTATTTATTAAATAAAAAATGTGTGTAAAATAAAATAAAAATAAATTTTTACTTTATTTTACACACTAATAATGCATAAATAATTATAACACTGGAAAGCAAATGTACAAAGGAGAGTTTAACTTTACAAAAGTTTTCTTCTAGCAAACCTAAAGTGTAAGGGAATATCAATCAATCAAATCTATTATTATCAATTTTTTTAATGATGATATTGGAATAGTAACCCCGCCTGCACGGGGGGAAAGGGATTGTTAGCAATGGGGTCTAACAGCCCCAATGCTAGCAATGTTATTATTATGTTCCCCATAGAAACTATCGTGGTTACTTCTCGTGGAATTCTTCACGATGGACTAACTGGCCTGCCTTTTCATCCTCATCTATCATCATTAACTGGTGCCCCGCCAGCGTATACCGTTAGCGCAGGCGACGTTACTATTGCATTATCACTTATTGAAAAAAAAACCGCCTACACTATCGGTAAACGGATCACTTAATGGATCTGTCACGCAAAAAATACTGAACGTATTAGAATTAAATCTGATACATGGATAGGACAATTTAGGACACTTTATATACTGATTCACGCATGTGAGGCCACGAGGTACAGGTAATATGTAACAAATTTATTATATCAAAATTATGTACGTTCAATTATAGATACGATAATCTTCTTTAAGTGAATTGAATAGCCGCATCTAATTGGCCTCGTTTTCTGGTTCCGCGGCCACTTTTAACGCCCTGCCGCCGCCGCCAGCGTGGTTTTTGAATCTGCTTCCTTTGTGATGGTTTTAATATGGAAATTAACGTTCGCTGCCGTGTGACGCCGCACACCTCGACAAGGGAATTAATTTTTTTTATTGTCTCACGACACGACTTTAATACATGGGAACAAAGCTCAAAATGTAACAGACATCGGATTGTATCTGTGCGTGTCAAACTGCAACACATTCACGTTGTAGATGTTCTGTCTAATTGAATTCTTAATGCACTTTTAGGTAGTGAAAGTGAGGATAATAATGAACAAGAAAATATTGGTCATAAAATTAGAAAATATAATGTAAAGTTATTTATATTGTATACATGTTATAAATGATACTCTTCGTCCACGTGAAATTTTTAATGATCAGGTGGTCAACCATGAAACGAAAATCCGAATTTTCGGGCTCAATTTCGTGTTTTTGTTCCTACCAAAATCGATCCAGTAAATGAAGCTTAACATTTCGACAAAATTCTTCACATTTTCTGAAAGGATAAACATACTTTCAATTTTTTTTGTTTTTTCGTGGAACAAAATCTTAAATTGTATATTTTCAATATTTGATTATAATGTTTGATTTGTTTGATATTTTACAAATCACTTACTCATTTCTCATATCGTAGACGACGAACGATTTGTACCGATTAAAAATCTACGACTTTTTTAAACAGCGTAGGGTGGCGCGGGGGGGTATGAAGCCCGTCATGTTTGCACATCGTCGCGTACGTAAGATTTCATCCCCGTTCCACTGCGTATCAACTGTTTGAATAGAGATACGCCACTCTGAATTTATTGTGAACAATCTCCCCCCTCTTCCCCTTACACCCCTCACACCCCCTTTTGTCACAAATCCGATGTATCGCTTTCACTTGTCGTTCGACGATATGGTAATGTGACATTTAATTCCTATCATTGAGGGATCCTTTATTACAGAATGTATGGATAGAATCCTTTGTTGTTGATTGAATTATACGTAGGTACCTACGCTTGTGTTGCAAATATACCATATGGGGGATAACAGACACATTGAAACTTGTATGATGAGTGGTATTTATTAATTAAAATTATGTAACTTTATTAATTAAAATAATAAATTTAAATTAGTTTTTATTATTTCGTACTTATCCCGATTAAATGTAACGTTTAGGTTCTTTTGTTTTTAAAACTTATGCTCGTTTTCCAACGATTTCTACATATACTTGTATACGTAAGTATAATGGGATTTTTATGAGATCGCTATGTTTGTGGTTTCTATGTTTACTATGTTTTTTTAGACAAAACGCTGTGACACAAAGCGCCGTACGCTCCCTAAAAGAGACTTTTGGATATAGTCAAAACAATTAACGGAAACGACTAAAATAGTAAATATATAAAATTCCCGTTATAGATGTATAAAGACAGAGTTTTTATTGATGAAAGTGAATAGTAATCAGACTACGCTAATGGATCACAATGACGAAGCTCTAATGAAGGAATAAACAGTTAAGGATCAAGTCAAGTCGGTTTTTTTATGGATGATAATGGAATAGTAACCCATCTGTACTATTGGTATATACTGGCGGAAAACCAATGAGGGTTGATAGGTGAGAAAGGAAAGACAGGTCAGTTAGCTCATCGTGATGATTTCAACAATAAACTAGTCACGATGGTTTCCAAGGGGAACCGCGTGGAGGTCGACCTAATATGATGTATTGATAGCAATGGGGACTAAGCTTTCCATTACTAACAATCCCTTCCTCCTAGTCAAGTCAATTGGCCCATCACGGCGAATTTACTAAGCCACGATGGTTTCTAAGGAGTACCGCGTGGAGATCGACACGACAGGATATATTATTTGATACTAATGGATCCAGAGTTTACATTATTAATAAGCATTTTCCTCATTCTGGTGAGTTGCGTGAGGTGATGGATCTGGTAAATCTTTAATGCTAAATGTGAAGTCTGTAAATATATTTAAATGTCTGTATTTTTATTACTCTAAAACAGCTGAACGAATTTAAATGAAATCTAGTACACGCGTAGGTTATATTCTGACTTAACACATTGGATACTTTATGGTATATGCTGGTGCACGCGGAATAATGCCACGCAGAACAGCTAATGGTAGTATGAGGCTTAGTTTTGTCTGTATTTCTAAAGATAGTACATTATATTTTATGCATTAAGAAAAGGACTATACACTCAGAGAGAATTCGCTGTTGGTCGGTATCCAAATAATAATGAAATAATATTGACATGTCTCTACCCTACCAGAGGGAGACTTTGCACAAAAGTCGATTGCTTGGGTACCTCTGTTCCATTCGTGTTTCAACCGTGAAGCAGTTGTGTTTGCATGGCTGTGTTTCGGTTTGAAGGGTGGGATATGGCAGTGAATTTACTGGTTACAGAGGAATAACATCTGAGTCCTCAGGAATGGCAACGCATGGGTGGTATCATGGACGAAACAGTATACTCTGTTATGTCTATGGTACTGCTCATGTCTATAGGCGACGGTTACCACTTTACATCAGGTGGGCCGTCAGCTTGTTTGCCATTCTAAGTTGTATATAAAAAAAAATGTGGACTCAGTATGGAAGTGCAAATTTCCACATTCATAGGCAAGGGTATTAAAAAGAAACGCTTAACCGAATCCGCGGTCTATTTGGAATGCGGGTGTATCAGCTTCATACGAATATTGGCAATAAAACAGCGATGAGCTGAAAAATCGATGTCGACAGACGAACCGGCATCCAATCGCTCGTCTAAATATACATATAAAACTACATATCTATTTCTGTCATATCAATCACTAGATATATGAATTAGTTACACGTCACAGTATAATTTTCAATTTTATTTTAGGTGGATTTTTGTGAATATGTTGCGCGATGACGTCATTAAATCAAACCAATTTTGACAAATGTTTTCCAAATTTTTTTTTATTGTTTGGGAGGCAAATGAACAGATGGTCTACTTGATGGAAAGTGGCTACCGTCGATTGATGAGTATAAGAGAACACTTGTTGTTCCCATATTATTTTTGTGACAAATGAGGTTGTTGTTTTCTTGAATTGATTGTTACGAAACTAAGTCGACAGGTAAACGACTACAAATTAAAAAAAAATTAAACTGTTCTAATCTCAATGTCTCGTTATTCATCGCAGTATGTATGCATGTTTATGGTTAAAGTCACTTTTCTTTGTGGAGCGAAGTATATTTGTTGTAGTAATACTTACAAAGCATTTTTCATTTAAACTATTTATATAGGTACGATTACTTAAATTTTTATTTTAAAGTAAAAAACAAAAAATGTCGGATAATTCAAATACATTTTCAGTTTTAATGTAGTGAAATCTCATCTCGGTTGGGACGGCACAGTACTTAGATATAATGGCGCGAGGCATTGTTGTATGTTTGAGAGCTCGTGATAATCACCGTCCGAGTGTGTTCGAATCACAGCGGGACGACACTTTTGTTTATACCGCACGATTTTTTGTAATCTATTTTATTATTTAGTAATATTTTATTTTACTAGGAATAGTAAATAAGTTGACATGTCTTGAAATGTCCATGATATTTGTCACGCGAGTATCCAATTTTTAAGTATAATTAAGTAGGATTGGCAACTTATATTTGTTTGTAGAAATTCTAAGTTATCCTGCATAATCTTTGACACAAAAACAAAGAAGTAACAGTGCTTCTTGTGTGAGACTTTACACTACCGAAATAAGTATATTCTAATGTAATAATGTATTTCGTAATCTAGAATTTAACGATAGTGCTATTTACTATATCTAAGACAATAAAACGACATAAGAATAAGAAACGGTGAGAACAATGGTGTACCAATAGCTGAAGACTGTTGGTACACTGTTTTTCTCTTACGTACATCTTTAAAACATAATAGCATATTTGAGACAAATTATGAAATTGATCATAACAAATTCATATGCAGGAACGTATTTACATTATTAAATTAATTAGGATGTATATTGGCAAAAATATAAATTAAAACCCACTAAGGCATGAAGTATGTGACGATTTTAAAATGAATTTACATTTATCTAGCGAATCGAAAAGTGTAAAAGCACCCTCGAACCATCGCATTCTCTCCACACAGTTCTCGCATCTCATCCTATTGAAATCCCCACAGCGCTCACGCTCATTTGCAGATTGATTCTGTTCTTTTATACTCTTTATATTTTGTTACAGAAAATGAGTTCCGTGCAAGAAGAAAAACCCCCCACGGAGGCGCCAACAAAAACACATGTACGAGAGTTGCGAAATACTGAATTAGTATCGAGACTGCTGGCGGCTACTCCGCCATATCTCTACAGTGCACTGCCGCTTCAACCTCATGCATTCTTCTTTAGTGAAATGCTTAGATCATTTGTGAACGCGCGGCACGGTTGCCGCCCACCCCATTACCATCGTCGTTTCAAGCGTCGTTCTCACAAATATTTTGCCGAGAGCGAAAGCGAGTGGCGACGAGACTGGCCTAAACCTGAAGAAGAAAAGAAGGAATCAGACAGTCGACCCGAAGTTCCTTTGGAATTGACCGTAGAAAAACAGCCGAAGCTACGTGAACCGTCTCCCAGGAGGTTGTCTCCGAAGGTAGAACAGACAAAGCCCAGCGGTAGTCCTGGACCACCTGGTAGACAATCTGCTTACGTCGACGTTGGTACAGAAGAGTTACCTAAACCAGCACCATGCGTTGGGAGGAATCCGACCGATACAGCTGCAGCTGTACCACCATCAAACCTAATACTTCCTCCTCCACCGCCTATGTGGTATCCTCCCCTGTACAACCCGCAGTTTGGTGTCGACCCTTTGAACTTCTTTATAGACCTACGCGTCTCTGGTCATATTTATGATAGGAAACGCGCACTTGCTGAAGGTATTGATACAAGTATCAATCAAGAAATTAGGCCAGAAGAGCCAGGTTTAGACAAACGGCTCCCAAGGGATTTCGCTCAAAGACCCCGTCATTTATCAGCGTTTTCAGTACCTGTACGTTCAGGAAATATTACAGTAGATGGCCAGGAGAAATATTTCGATCACAATAGTTTAAGATCTAGTAAAGTCAATGGTACTTCTTATATTATGAGGAATTTGAAACGGGTCTATGAAAATGTGCAGAATGTGCAGAACAAGGAGGTCTCCAAAGAAATCAACGAGGAAGAAACAAAAGCGGAGTCGACAGATGTGGATGAGGATATTATAGATTAAATTATTATTAAATGCTATGGAAATATATTCCATAAATTCCACTTATTTATTTACTGCTTAAAATAATATATAGTTTAAGGTAAATTTTGTACAAGTTTATTTTTAATTTAAGGATTGAGACTCAATAACTCGAGACCTGTTATTTAATTATTAAAAGACTGTTGAAGGCTTGGTAGCTGCAATTTTTATTTTTAACCAAATGTCAAATATTTTTTCTTTAAATCGATACGATTTCTTTCATTTTTACTCAAACATAAACTTGTATTGATTTTCTCTGTTTTTTCGTGTAAACATAACATAAAGCGAACGATGGAATAACGGCCTCCCTACATTTAGCTTTGCTTACCTTCTCTGTCCTTATCCCATCTTCTGTTTTGCTACATTTAATCATATATTTTATTGTATTTTAATACTGTTATATAGTTTATAAATATTAAAGCTGTAGAAAAATTATACAAATTTCTCAAAGCCCATCCATTTTTCTCCAATAAATTCTCTAAGAAAATATTTTTATCAAAATTTCCATAACAGAATTTTTTTACCCAAAATTGCTTAAAAATATCTAATCTAGCAACGTTGCATTGTTGATTTCGGGATTCCATGTTTGTAATACGTACTACAAAACGGATAATAGATGATAAATATTTTTTACAGATTCCAATCCTCCTGTGCATTGCCAATTAAAAAATATATTATCTATGCCCTTGAAAATAATCTACTTTGTAATTTTACTTATAATTAATAAATTACTTACAGAATAGTTTAAATAAAATATTAAAATATGAAAATCATATTCCAATTATTGTGTGACTGAAAAAGTTTGAAAAGAATGACCTTTGGTTAGAATTCGCGCTTATCCATTAGTCGGTATCTACTTTGGATTGGGTATTTGTAAAATTTTTATGTGAAATGAATGATGTATAAAAATAAAATAGGTAGTTAAGTATTTATGTATAGGTAGGTATAATAAAATGTTACTTTATAGTCATAATCTAGTCAATACTATAACAGTCTGTAAATATGTACGTATATTTCAATTTCTGTTAATACCTGTGGTTATATAAAAAATATGCAATGTAGCACATGTTAGCAATTAGATAAACTGTATTGTTAGGTAGGTAACTATAATTTAATTATAGATAATATTATGATAAATCAAAAACAGTCTGTTTATAAAAAATGTATTAATAAAGGTACCCAAATCTGTAAATCTTTTTAAGATTTTATTTTTGAATATAATATAAGATCGTTTCTTTGTAATATAGGTAGGTACTTACGTAGTATCTAATAACATATTTACTGTGCTGTGTCATTATTATTTTTTAGTATAAAATTTAAATTATATAAAAATATATGTTTTTGTCTATTAGTTTTATTTTTAATAATTATAATATGTATATTTGTGTAATACTTATAATAAATTTTTATTTATTTCTCGTATCATAAATAAAGGATTTGTTTTTATTAAAGTTAATAAATCAATGTGATTTTCATTTATTTAGAGTTAAACATAAGTTTTTTATGTGGGTGTTAAGTATAATAGTATCTACATATATAAAGTATACTCTGGTCTCCATCAGCGTATGCTGACTGGTAAAAAACGATAGATGAAAGTCTTTTAATGGGTGAAAATGAAATGGTAACCCCGCCCGCGCTACCGGTACCTATACACCGGCGGGGCACCAGTGACGGATGATAGGTGAGAACAAGTGTAGGTCAGTTGGTCGATCATGACGAATTCGACAAGAATTAACCATGATAGTTTTCAAGGAGAATTCCAATCTGAACTACTTTCATCTATCAGGAAGGAAAGATTTTATTAATTATGAGGTCTAATAGCCCTATTGCTAGCAATATACACTATCATATCGACTTCCACATGGTTCCCGTTGAAAACTATTGTTGTTAATCGTTATGGAATTTGTCACGATGGGCTAACTGACCTGCTTTCAACTTTATCTTTTTTTTTCTACCACTGAGGTGGCTAACAAGCATACGGCCCACCTGATGGTAAGAGGTTACCGTAGCCTATGAACACCTGCAATACCAGAGGTATTACGCGTGCGTTGCCGACCCTGAAGAAACCTCTTTACCCCCCTTTTGAAGAACCCCATGCTGTAATCTTTATGGAAAACCTCGGCAGGGAGCTCATTTCACAACCTGAGTGATCGTGGGAGGAAACATCTCTGAAATCGCGCAGTACACGACCATTGAGGCTGTAGGACATGAGGATGAACTGTCTGTCGTCTCTCATTGGTGCCCCGCCAGCGTATACCGATAGCGCAGACGGAGTTATCATTCAATTATCACCCATTAAAATAAAAACAAGCTGACAGCCTATCTCTTACAAAGTAGTACATGTTGTATTAGCTGTTAACTGTACACTGCTAAATATAGCCCATAAGGGAGTTTTGCCAGTAGTTGCCACGCTTTGCAGGCGGGTTGGCAACCGCAGCTTGGCTTTTGGTGATGTTTTAAGAGGGACGCTGTTGCCGATTCATCCACTATAAGCGCCATTAATCGTCTCTTACGACATCCACGGAAAGGGGGGAAAAGGATTGTTAGCAATGGAGTTTGACAGCCCCAATGCTAGCAATGTGCTCTGTTAGGCTGACCTCCACGTGGTTCCCCCTGGAAACCGTCGTGAACAATTCTTGTTGAATTCGTCACGATGGGCCAACTGGCCTGCTTCATCCTCACCTATAATCCTTCACTGGTGCCCTGCCGGTGGGGTTGCCATTCCATTATCACCCATTAAAAAAACATCCACGGAAAAGGACAGGGTGGCTTATTCTATGCCGGAATCTACGCGGCTACAAGTAGTACAATACAAAAACAAAGTAGTACCTAACCGTTGCTTATAGACATGAATAGCAATATGGAGATTAGATATACAGTGACACCAATGCGTTCATTATTCTTATTTGTCATCATTTCTGAGGATTAAGGTGTTTTATATCACTTTACCTATTAATTTCACTAAAAAAACCTCGCCTTGCAAACAAAACGTAGCTATGCAAATACAGCTGTTTGGTGGCAGCAATACGAGTCATCATGTAAACTAATTGTAAGATAAGTTTATAAGGTATAGTTCTGGTATCTAAATACTGATTATGGACATTTATGACAATATAATGTTGGTGCAATAGTGTTAAACAAATAAATAAATATATAATTTTAATATAAAAAACACTTTTATTAAATATGAACTTAATTACGAACAGTTTTATAACTAATTTTAAATAAATGATTACTTATTCAAAAGAAGTAAAAGTTAGCAGCGCCACCTACAGGTTATGACTCGTAACACCTCGCTTATAAAATAGCAATATTAAATAAACTCTGCTATGTTTATTTTTTATGAGTTACTTTATCATGCTTTCGTGTTCTTATGTGAGTTGGGTTCATGAAAACATAGGTACTTAATAAGAAGGAGAACAATTGAGTTATGAACTATCTATTAAAATTAGAGAATTACTTGTGTAGGATTACATAAGTGCCTTATTTAAGGATTATATTAGGTAATTTAAGCTTTGTTTAAAATTGAAAAACTTGTTAAAAATTGTAAAATGTTTTTATTAAAAATTAAATTTTCCTACTGAGCATCTAGCGAGTAATTTCAGAACTAACAACGTATTGCTTTTCAACCGACTTTGAAAAAAAAAGGATATATTTTCAACTATTTCCATATTTTCTTTCTTTATTAATTTTGATTAAGATATTTGTTTTTTAAACGAGAAGGTGAATTCCGTTTTTGGTTTCATTGTCTTGTCTCGATTAAATCGGTTTTCTTGTGGAATAAAATAATCATAATAATGTCTGTGAAAAATATTTATTCATAGTAGTGAAAAACTTTAAAAAAACATGTCTAAGGTACAAGTATTTTCGAAAAAGTACCTATAAATTTTAAAATGCTTGCAATGCGTATGTAATATCTTTATGAACAAGTGGACCATCATTATTATGTCGTTTGCCTCCCTAACAATAAAAAAAAGTATTAAATCCATACGAAATAAAAAGTAAAGTGATAAGTCAATGATTAATTTTGCATTCCAGACAAATTATCATATTGAAGACTAGGCAGCATGGTCTCCGACCTTAGCCTGTTCCACAACGGAACAAACGTACTAAAAAAAAAAGATTAATTTTGCAAAATAAGTTCTGACATCCTTACTAATATTATAAATTGTATGTATGTGAATGTATATTATATGATATTATTGATAATTTGGGATCAAATTTCACAATTAATAGGTATAGGTAACTAATAAGGTTTAATTATCCTTAAGTTGATCTTATATTAATTACCTTACCATAAAATTATAATATTTTTCATATTTCGTTCTACTAAGCTCATTAGAAAAAGCTCAATGATAGTAACATTCACGGATGGTCCAGCATATTACTGCGCATTAAGTACAGTCTCATACCGATCAATCTCGAATTGTTTCTACTGGCCATACCAAGAATGTAGCGACAGTGAACCTAAATCGGCATTAGGCTCTATTCACACTATAGTGACGGTCTCGCTCCGATTTCAGTCTGGTAGCCTAACTTGATTGATTTAATTCAGCAAAATGCTTAGACGGAGGCATTAAAAAAAAAGTCGTGTAAAAAGAATCATAAAAATCAAATCAAATGCCGAAATCAAAAAGATAACATAATAAAAAAAAGCTATTAATTTTATTTAAAAAGAAAAAAAAAGAACAAAATGCAGAACGACATTAACAAATACACAATTTTTATTTCATCCCACTTTTTTCAAGAATTATTAATACTAATAAAATAAGGTTCGCAACCAAATAGTAGAAACCTTGTTTACTTTTATAAAGTTCAGGAAGCAATACATCTGAAAAATATTTTATTATTTTAGGAATAATGATAACTTACCTATTAAATTTATATTATTCACATCTGTAATAAAATTCCATTAAGTAGTTATATTCTTATACTATTTAGTTCATAAATCTGTCATTTGATACTTAAATATCATTCTAAAAAATAATATTTATGCATTTTTTTTATTCACATCAGTTTAGTTTAACCTAGTCACTCTTTAACTCTTTGGTTTCGGCAGTATCGGCAGATCTAACTGAATTAGAAACAAAAGAGCATTTACATCATCGGTACACATAGAGCTAGAATCGATTTGGATTATAATTTTTTTCAGATTGATCGTGACTGGAGTGGGATTGGGGCGGAACTGCACCATTATTGATAGTGTGAACAGATACATTGTATCTATATGTTTTTTATACTCCTATGCTGACAAACAGATATACGGCCCGTCTGATGGTAAACGAGGTTATCATAGATATATACACTTGTAACACCAGGTGTCCGTAATAATAATATTTTAGCAGACCAAAAGCAGAGTGAGAGCGTAGCGATACCAGCACTGTAGTGTGATTTGGATCTTAGTGGGAACCCGATCTTAATCTCTTTATGGATATATGTTTGACTCAAGCCATCAAGTGTTTCTAGAGCTTGTTGCAAATGTTGTTTTACCTATCTCCTTTACGTAAGGAAGAGGACTTCATTTTATAGGAAAGCATAGCTTTATATCTTTATACTTTAGCTTCATTGCAGATTTAAAAAATAATATTATTTGACTTTGACTTTTTATAGTTTTTTACATTTAATATTGCCAGTGTAAAATGCAATATTTATATAAAGATAAATTTTCAAATATTGGCATGTATAGATAAATAATAAGGTTATCTAGATTTTGTATTATGTACAAAAATAATACTATATTTATAAATTAAATTATTTATTTTTGGCACAGACGTATATGTCTGTGATTTTTGGTAGGTAAAATAATTTTATGATATGGCAAGTTTAGTAACACCACGCGATTTTTGCGAGAGGTTTTGAAGAGCAAAAATTAATTTTAATTTTTATAATAGAGTATATTCTCCGCTAAAATAATATCAAAATGTTCAGTCAACAGCCAATTTTAGTTTTGAGTAAGCACTTAAGATCATTTTGTATTACTTTTACTTTAAAAATGTTGAATTTATTATCTATATTAATTTTCCCTTTCAGGCCAAAACACAAAACGTGAATCCGGCCGGAAGGTTCAACTCGAAAATATTAATGCTGGAAAAGTAATTATAAATTTTTATTGATGTTTAAACAAATTTTCTATCTTGCAGAGTATGTTTTTGTGTCTAAACCTAAAGATTTCTTTTTATTTTAGACGATAGCGGACGTTATACGAACATGTCTTGGCCCACGAGCAATGTTGAAAATGTTGATGGATCCCATGGGTGGTATTGTTTTAACCAATGATGGAAATGCCATCCTGAGAGAAATCACTGTTCAACATCCAGCTGCAAAGTCTATGATTGAGATCGCTAGAACGCAAGATGAAGAGGTTAGAAATTCTTTGTCATCTAGCTTTTTTAAACTATGTGACGAGTCGCCCGCCTTTAAGGCGTTGACAAATGATAATCATCGATGTTCATTTTTGTCTGTTAAAATGGGATACATAAAATTGCATAGGATAAAGTACTCAAGTTAGTATAAGTTTGCAGTGTCTTCTACAGCTGTCGGGATTTGTATAGTATATGTAATAATTATTAAATAAATTACAAATATATACTAAAGAAAAATAAACCTATTTAGATATGAATTAGTATTATCTATGTTAATATGAAAATTAATTTTGGCTGTCAAATCTGTTGAATATTTAAGGCTCTGAGGATTTGATTTAATAATTGCATTTAAAAATATCTAAAATGTTTAATTTTAAATTGATTATGTAGCCTTATATAAAACACATGCTAAAAATGATGCATTTCATTTAATAACTTAATCTAAATATGTGTAGAAGAAGCTACAATTATAATTCTTTTGTAGTGATTTCTACTAAGATTTTCATAAGATTGCCCAATTGTGAAATAAATGTATCTAAATAAGATCAGACTGACAGAACCAGTGATGTGAATCGGACTCCCATTTCTCTACTTAGGCTTTTATTTGGGCTGTTGTATGTGTGAAAGTGGTTGATATAGAGCTCAAATTCTGTAAGCTGCCGTTGCAATGGGCTGGTCACAATGGTCACATCTGTCGAATGATGGATGATCAATAGGGAGAAATCTCTTATAATTGGAACCGCATACATAGAAAATATCCTGTGTGGTGGCTTCCCTTCTGATAGACCAGCGATTTTCAAGATTGCTGGAGAAAAATTAATGGAAAAGACAGAGGACAACATTGGTTGAAAGGCATTAAAGGTGGCCTATACCCAGCAGTGTATTGAATAGGTTGATAATGAATGTTATATATATGATAAAAGTTAATTATTATTATAATATTTATCTAGCTAGATAGTTCCTGTATGAGTTAATTACAAAAATCATACATATGAATTTTGTGATATTAGTTACTTATAAACATAATATTTTATATTTAGGTTGGAGATGGTACTACATCAGTCATAGTATTAGCTGGGGAGATGTTGGCAGTTGCTGAACAGTTTCTGGCGCAGAATATCCATCCAACTGTGATCATCCGGGAGTATCGCCAGGCTCTGGAGGATGCTATCCAACTACTTCAGGATAAGATCTCTATACCTATAGATTTGAATGACAGAGAAAAACTTAAAGAAGTGGTAAGTTTCTCATTTTCAAAATAAAACTATCCTATTAGTGTAATGTCAAAGTTTATAAAGATGTTTAAATGTTTATTAGTTGATTAGATTTGTATGAAGTTGGGTACACATGAATTATAATTATGTTGATCAAATTATATGCATTAAAATACATATAGATTACTTTTATACTGAGTGACAGGCATATCAAGAATTTGACACAAAATCAAAATCACTTGACCAAAATTCTTATCTTACTGATATAATAAAATTGTAACTTGGCAATGTCTTGACGACATGGGAGATATATAAGAAAAATTAATATGATTGGTTTTAATAAAACTAATAAAACAGACAATATTGCTAAAAATTATTATCTGTCTGTCTGTATGATTGATTTGACATCACACAAAAACTACTGCAATTGAATGTGGTTTTTACAGTTGTGTTTCTGATAGTGTAACTTGGCTAGTATATCTATCTATAGTTGACTAGTATATCTTTTAATACTCCATTTAGAAGTGGTCGTAAGTCATTTGACATGATGCAAACAAAGTAGTGAGCAAAAAACTATATCCTATATAAAAACACATTTTCGAGCATTTATGTTTAGCTCCGCTTAGCTTAAAGGTTTTTACAATTATTACATTTTTGTATTATTCACTCATAATTGCAGGAATTTAAAATTTTAGACATCTATTTTTTAAAACAATTTTATTATTCACAGATCAGATCATGTGTTGCTACAAAATACATTGGCCGCTGGTCGGACCTTGCTGTGGATATTGCTCTTGATGCTGTCAACACGGTTACGGTCAATGAAAATGGCAGGATTGAGGTGGATATTAAGAAGTGAGTATGGAATTTATTCAAACAATTTTGTTTTATTTATATATTTGTTTATTATTTAATTATCAGTGATCCCAAATCCACAGTTGGTATTGTGTTCTTAAGCTTAAGGCCAGATTTTGCTTCCCTTTCTATTGTTTATATAAGGGGTTACGTACAGAGAAATTGTTAGAAATGATTCCCACATCTATGTTCATATAGTCATATCTAGATACAACAGTGTGGGGTTCTTCACAAAGCGAGTATTGAAGTTTATTTTCCAAGGGTCAGCACTGCACACGTGATTCACCTATTGTTGCAGGTGTCCATAGGCTACAGTGACCATTTATCATCAGATGGTCTGTAAGTAATCTGTCATTGTTCTTTGCAGTTATGCCAAAATCGAAAAGATCCCTGGTGGAAGCATTGAAGAGTCGCGCGTGTTAAATGGTGTGATGATCAACAAGGATGTGACACATCCCAAGATGCGGCGATACATTGAGAACCCGCGCATCGTCTTGCTTGACTGCCCACTTGAGTATAAGAAAGGAGAGAGTCAAACCAACATCGAGATACTTGGTGAACAGGTGAGAAGAATAATTTGTCTTCTATTCATCACATTTGTGAAACATACTATGTTTTTTTAGATTGTGTGGTTATTATTTTGAGCTTTTGAAAAAAAAATACATAACTACCAGAGGGACTACACTACACTACTTTGTACAACAGTCTTTGTATAAAGTTTGCTTGGGCACCTTTGTCCCATTCATGTTTCTACAGTGAAATAGTTGTGTTTACATGGCTGTGTTTCAGTTTGAAGGATGGGATATAGAACTGAATTTACAGAGTATAGAAGATTAACACCTAAGTCCTCAGGAATGGCATCGCATGGGGGCTATCATGGGCGAAACAGTATACTCTGTTATGTCCATGGTACTGCTCATACCTATAGGCGACAGTTACCATTTTCCATTAGGCGAGCTGTCAGGGTGTTTGCCATTCTAAGCTGTATAAAAAAATGTTTTTTGAAACAGTTTTATTATTTAATAAATTATCAAACCATTTCTTGGAACAGTGTCTACCTATATTCTATTTAATTGGAGGATATATAGTAAACCATTAAGACAATTACAAAGTGGGCATTGTTTTGATTTTTTTTTTATTTTATTATTTATTTTGTGATACATAGGTACATGACAATAGATGGTAATATAAGTCTTCTAGGTCAAATTCACACATGTAGTTATACAAATTTATGAATGTAATAAAAAAAAAATTATAGGCAAACACAGCATATATTGATACATTTATAACAATTAGTACAGAGAAAACAAATATATACAACTTACAACTATTATTAAATGCTTAACAACTAAAGCCGCCATATCCATAAGAAGAACCAGCAGCATTTTATACATTTATAGACATTTCGTACAAAAGCAACTAACAAAAAACAACTTACAATTACAAAAGTACTATCAAAATTAATATCGATCCAGTCACCTTTGTCTGTGATATTATGTAAAACTTATTGTTGATTAGATTGTTTTACACTACTACTGTTCACTTATTACTTCCTATGAACACAGTAGGTGTTAGGTTGACTGGAAGAGATTTCTTTTAGAGATATGCTCTCTTTTGCTTACATTATTTCTAATTGTTATTATTACTGTAGGTTTTAGTGCGATAAAGAATATATTTCCATAGTCTATTGTATAAACAGTTTATTGCACTAGTAGTTATGTTGTCCTGTAAATGAAGATGAGTCTGACTAGTTTCGCTAAAATTGACGTTAATAAAAGACATTAAAAAATGCTGTTTAATTGATATATATAATAACTTACATTAGAATTGCTATGATTATGACAATAGTGTTGCATGGAGGAAGTTGAGACAACAATTTTGCTATTTTAGAATGCAAGCTGATTACGTATTTAATAACTTAGATATAATATAAAAGACATATTGGATGAAGGTTATTTTTTTATTTTTTACAGGACTTTACAAAACTACTGCAATTGGAGGAGGAGCATGTGCAACGTCAATGCGAGGACATCATTGCCTTCAAACCTGATGTTGTATTTACAGAAAAAGGCATATCAGACTTGGCACAGCATTATCTTGTCAAAGCTGGCATTACTGCTATAAGAAGGTATAGTCTTAAGTAGTAGAATTTTTACATATAAATTTTGTAGATCGCTGACTGTTGTAGTAGTATTTTTTTTTTATTAGATCAGTTAGCTGATTGCGATGAATTTATTAGGATGAAATTAATCACAATCGTCTTGAGGAGACCGTGTCGAAGTCGATTTATATTGCTAGGAATGGGGTTAAGTCCCCATTAGTAACAATCATCCATTAGCTAGTTAGGCCATTTGACATACTTTTTTATTTTTAGTTTTCCTTGTGTGTTAGCACTGGTGTGTTCCTCTTATTACATTTTGAGAGAAAAGTGTGGTGACACTTGTTACTTTATAAAATAACTTCTATCTTACTTTTTATAATAAATTACTGCCTGCTTTTTTGTACATGTGATTTCAGAAATTGGTTAATTAATGAAATAGCTACTTCTAGATGGAATATCGAGATAAAATATATATAAGTTTTACAACTGTGAAAATCTCATTTAATTTGGTACAATCCTTCTTGCGTGAGTGATGCTAGAACAAATCTACAGAGCCCTTATATCAGTATTTCTTAAATAACTCTCATGTGGCTGTTTGGTCCCAGCATAGAATAGGCCACCCTTTCCTTTCCCATGGGTGTCGTAATGGAACTTAATGGTCGAGGGATCAGTAGCACTGCCCCTCTTAAGACATTATCAAAGTCTAACTGTGGTTGTGGTTGACCAACCCGCCTGCCAAACGTGGCAAACAGTTGGCAGAATTTCCCTCGTGGGAAAGGTTTCTGTACTGCAGTAGACAGTTAGCCGCCGAAATGATGATGATGATCTCTCGTGTACAAACATTGTGTAGTTTTAATTTGGTTATATTAGTAATATATTTCAATGGAAATTAAAAACAATTAGCCTGTTTTCTATCAAAGAAACACACATATTTATAATATTTGTAATAAAACTCAAAGAACTGACAATTGATAGGAAAGAAAGATTCTTAAGTGGCGATCCCCTATGGGCAAAAGAAGTGTAGGACGACCCTCCACTAGATGGAGGGATGACCTAAATTGCATTGCAGGGAGTCAGTAGATGCAGGTGGCTCAGGACCGTTCCTTGAGGGAGGCCTATGTCTAGCAGTGGATGGATAATGGCTGAAATGATGATTATGAAGGAAGCGAAAGTTAAGGATAAATCTGATTCACGTAGTCCCTGTGTCTGGTCTTCGATAAAAGTTTGTAATATATATATATATATATATATATATATATATATATATATATATATATATATATATATATATATATATATATATACTCTACGCTTACATTGATTGATTAGGTTTCAAAACATTTTTGTTATGAGGTTGGTAACTTTATGTCAATTATGTGCATTTGTGTACACAGATTACGCAAAACAGATAACAATCGATTGGCGCGCGCTTGTGGCGCCACCATCGTCAACCGCACCGAGGAGCTGAAGGAGAGCGACGTCGGAACCGGCGCCGGCAAGTTCGAGATCAAGAAGATCGGTGATGAGTACTTCACATTTGTTACCGAGTGCAAGAATCCCAAGGTAGGATTGTTATAGTATATCCGATAGTTTTTACAAATATACATAATCAAGGATTAACAAGCAACACCTACTAGCTAATATTTATAAGATATTGTAGATTTTTTTTTATAGTCCATAGAGAAATAATGCCATTATCAGTCTACCATCTAATCAATATATTGAGAATATTTTAAATCCACTATCGAGAACTAATACGATGCGATTGCAGGTAAGTAGTACCAATATACCTGTTTTTTTTTTTCAGTATAAACAGTGTGTTTAAAATTTTAAGAGTATTTTAATTGTAAGACTAACTGGATATAATTAATTTTTTTTTTTATTCAAGAGTAGTTCATTCACGTTAATAAAAAATGCAAATTATCTAATAGTTATTCAGTAGATATTGACAAAATATTCTGAATCATATTATGTACGAATACTCAGTTTTGTACAAAAGTCGATTGCTTGGATACCTCTGTCCCATTCGTGTTTCAACCGTGAAGAGTTGTTTTTTTTTTTGTTGGATGAAAATGGATTGGTAACCCCGTCTACGCTAACGGGATACGCTGGCGGAGCACCAGTGAAGGGTGATAGATGAGAATGAAAACAGGCCAGTTAGCCCATCATGATGAATTCATCATGAAGAATTAACCATGACAGTTTCCAGGGGGAACCGCGTGGAGGTCGACCTGGTTAGGTATATTGCTAGCAATGGGATTTTTAGTAAGCAGTTGTGTTTGTATGGCTGTGTTTCGGTTTGAAGGGTGGGATATAGCGTGAATTTACTGGGTACAGAGGAATAACACCTGAGTCCTTAGGAATGGCAACGCATGGCGGGTATCATGGGCGAAACAGTAATACTCTGTTATGTCTATGGTACTGCTCATGTCTGTAGGCGACGGTTACCACTTTTCATCAGGTGGACCGTCAGCTTGTTTGCCATTCTAAGTTGTATAAAAAAAAACATTCAATGTGTAAGATTAAAATATTTATATTTTGTTAATAGATTTATTTTAAAAGAGACACATTTGGTAGTTCTCAGGTGAATTTGTTTGGTGCATTGGATGGTAGGGCAGTAGAAAAGAAGATACATAATTTATAACAAATGTCTTGAATGTGTGATGTAGTTTTCTTGTTTTCTATTCTCTTTGATGACAAACACTATTAATTCATATTTTAAGAATGTATTCTGTAACTTCTAAAAAGGCTACATAAAACTATCAAATACTATTTATTTCACATATAACGGCATTACATTTACATTCTATTCATTTAAATATTTATTGAGGAACATTTTTTTTTTAATTTAATTATCACATAATGTATTTGGTTTTCTAAAGTATGTAATCTTAAAATGTTTCAGGCTTGCACGATACTGCTGCGTGGCGCTTCTAAGGATGTACTTAACGAGATTGAAAGGAATCTACAGGACGCTCTACATGTTGCTAAAAATTTGGTAAGTTCAGTTTTTTTTTGTATTTAACATTAGAGATGAATGGGTCATTTTGATGTTGGGAATAAGGAGAAATAATTTGTAGAGATACATTTTAAAAATGTATCTGTGAATTTTATTGCACTTGTATGATTAGATTGACGAAGTGGAGGAAGAGAAAAAGATGTGTTTAAATTGGAGTATTTCTCATTGGGAGACAGACGTGGTATGAGGCCTATAAAAGCAAAGGCAACTAAATGCCGTAAAATCGATTTCACTCTGTACTCAAATATTGAGGGAGTTCTATTAATTAAAATTCAAATGACTAATATTCTAATTTTTTTCAATCTGGTTTAAAATATAGAACATCGTTTCATAATATAAACAATAATAGTTGACGCAATAATAGTTTTGGAAGTTTCCTGAACATTTTCATTTCAGTTATTTATTGAATAATAATCATACAGTTGTGTTTGAAATAAGTTACAATATTTTATAAACTAAAAATTAAAGAAATAAACAATAAGGTCAATTAAAAAATAATACAAAAATAAAAAAAGAAAACAAACAAAATGATAGCTTATAATAGATAGTAGATAAATTACTTGTCATGACAATTTATCTAAAGTATAAAAAACATTCTTTCAATAAAATAGCTCTTAGCTTAATTTTGAAGGTATTGAAATTATCAGTGATTTTCATATCAGTGGGTAACCTATTAACCCTTTGAGTGCCGACGAGCGCCATCGCGCTCGTGCGCATTGCGACTAAAAGTGCCATGCTAAAAGTGCTCCCGTTTTTTTCTATTTTGCTCTGTTTCAGTTTTCAGAAGGACCTTTACAAAATCAGCAAGGTCAACCAGTATATAGAGACTTGGAACCGTTAAAATTGCGAGTTTTTCAAAATATTCTCTACAGGAATCTCTTTGTGAAATGCGTACAAATTGTTCTTATAGCCCTTTTTTGTTTGATTGTCTGGTATCATTTGATAGGGTTGGATTTTTAGCTGTTTGATTTTCTAGGCCTCATATGTATATGTATACGTATAGTATAGTGTATGTCCGTGCGCAGGTGGTGTCGCCGCGGCTGGTGGCGGGCGGCGGCGCGACCGAGATGGCCGTGTCGCAGGCGCTGGCCGCGCGCGCGCCGCACGCCTCGCCCTACCGCGCCGTCGCACACGCGCTCGGTTAGTACTACTCTCAATATGACATACGGGGCTCAAAACATTCACACTAAACCTACCGAGCGCGTGGAAACTATCATGGTTAATTCCTGATGAATTCATCATGATGGGCTAACTGGCCTGTTTTTATTCTCATCTATCACCCTTCACTGGTGCTCCGCCAGCGTATCCTGTTAGCGCAGGCAGGGTTACCATACCATTTTCACTCATCAAAAAAAAAAAGCAAGCGCGGTCAAATGTCTGTTTTTGAAATTTTGTTTAAAAATTTTCATGTATAACGTTACGGTATCACCATGTAACTTATTGACCTCTCCTATAATATACATACGACCCATTTTTCAATATTTACAACTTACTATTATTTACTTGTTTATTAATTGGCTAAAATCTCTTTCTATATTAAGATGTATACTTTATTTTAAAGTGGTCATTTGACCGCTCATGATAGGATTTTTTTTATACAACTTAGAATGGCAAACAAGCTGACCCAGTAAATTCCTCTGTACCCAGTAAATTCACGCCATATTCCACCCTTCAAACCGAAACACAGCCATGCAAACACAACTGCTTCACGGTTGAAACACGAATGGGACAGAGGTACTCAAGCAATCGACTTTTGTACAAAGTCTCCCTGTGGTGAGATATGATGTGTGTAGATATGATGTCTATAGTTTAAAATTATTAAGTTATTACACTTGTGTCGTAACATAATATAGAAAACGGTTTAATTTTATCACAAATACTATGTTTTTAATTTTAAACATTTTCAGTACTTTTTTTTTTCTTATTTTAAATGATGTATGTTCTTTGCAGAGATAATTCCGCGCACGCTGGCTCAGAATTGCGGCGCGAACACGATCCGTACTCTGACGGCGCTGCGTGCGCGGCACGCGGGCGGCGCGAGCACGGCCGGCGTGGACGGCATCACCGGCGAGGTGGCCGACATGGCCGCGCCGCCCCGCGCCGTCTGGGAGCCGCTCGCCGTCAAGCTGCAGGTCGGAACAGGGATCTTTATTGCCACCTAGGGAGCTCTGCTCCTAACTAGGGAGGTTTTCACTAACGTAGGGAGGCCTACTCCTAGCTAGGGAGATCTTCATTCGCATAAAGAGATCTACTTCTAGCTAGGGAGGTCTTCATTCTCATAAAGAGGTCTACTCCTAGCTAGAGAGGCTTACACCCACTTAGGGAGACCTACTCAGCAAGGGAGACCTACACCCACTATATAATAGGGAGACCTACTCCTTAGAGACGCATACTTCTACCTAAGGAGAATTATCCCTACCTAGAGAAATCTACTTCAACAGATTTTTTTTTATAAATCATTGTATGTTTATGGACTTTTTGTGATATATTAGAGTTAAAGAGAATCTACTACAGTTCTTACGCGCAATTTTTCATATTATTATCATCATATCAGCCTTAACTGTCCATTGCTGAACATAAGCCCCTATTGAGGAATGTTGTCACTAGTTGCCATGCTTGGCAGGAGTATTGGAAACCGCAGTTAGGCTTTGGAGATGTTTTAAGAGGGATGCTGCTGCCCATCCCTCGCTCTTTCTTAGTCGTCTTTTATGACACCCACGGGAAAGGAAGAGGTTGCCTATTCTATTTCTATTCTACAGAATTTTTCATATGTGTTTGAATTTTTCATTGTGATTAAATTTATTCAATTTATTTTAAAATTTCTTCGACCAAATGGTAGATGATACAAAAGACGGACTTAATGCAGCAGTCAACCTAGGGTAAAATAGAAAATTTTATAAAAAAGTAATAATGTATTGAGTACAAACTTTCAATTGAAGGAAGGACATAAGCTTGTTTATGCAATTTCATATTGTTAATTCTGCATATTAAAAACTTTAGAACTCTTAGAAAATAACAGAAATGAAACATTTTCATTTCTAACCATGTTTTTTCTACATATAAACGTTTTATATTTCTACCTCCACTTTTATTTATTTATTTTATTTATTCATTAGTACAAATATGGGTACATGACGGACTTAATGCTAAAAGCATTCCCTCTCAGTCACCATACTTTTAATTTTGTTATCATTTTATTTTTATCTAATCGAAATTTCTTATTCTAGGTCTACAAAACAGCGGTTGAGACAGCGATATTGTTGCTCCGGATCGACGATATCGTATCGGGCTCCAAAAAGAAGGATAAAGAAACCCCCACTCCCGCCGCTATGGCTGCCCAAGAATAACTGGAACACATCCATAGATATCTAATAATTTTATATGTATTCATGGACAAAATATACTACATACATAGCATGAAAAAGCACCCAGTGAACCAGCATACTGTACTCAATTGCTTGGAAGAAATTTTACTTTTCAATTCGCCTAAGGCCGTGTGGTCATATGCCTTGCTATTATAAAAATTCAAATGTACGCGATTCAAGTACCAGGTCGACTTTTAATGCGAACGAAATTATATGGAATATTATATTGATTTAATGTTATTTTATTTTGTGGAAGTCCATATCACTGGTCGACCATATGGAAGAAATGTTAAATATGATGTAATGGTAACATACATTTGATATGATTTGAATTCATTCTATTGAATCAAATGTTAACCTGCTAAAGGAATTTTCTACATTATTATCAGACTTTAAACTTAATAATCTAAGTTATAAATCTTTATTCTAAAAAATGTTTTATTGATTTACACTCCGCTTACGTATCTTACGGTGTAGGATATAGCACCACAAATCTCTTCATCCACTTTCATAAGTCTCATGTATAGTTCTTTTTTATGCTTACTGGCCTGCGACTTTGATGATAACAAGTCTGATGGCTGATGTCCTATATGCCAAATTTCAGAACGATAAGTTGATATATAACAATTTTATTATAAACAACCTTTCTTTTAAGCGCTTATCTCAGTCAACGATTGTTTGCACTAATAATTTAAAGCCTTTGAATAATTTGTATGTTGAAATATTATGAATTATGCTGAAGTTTGATACCAAATGTTGTACACGAGATTACTCATATTTAAAATGCATGATTTACAGTGTTACAAAACGATGTAGTGTTTCAAATGTAACTGGCTAGGAAACTAATAAACCTTTATCATATTTTGAAAACAAAACCATTTGTAAGTAATTTACGGATTCAGAATTTCGGCTTAGTCGCGTTATAATTCATGCGGCCATAGTCACGATTTATACTAAATGATAGTACATAAAAACGAGACTTTGTTGCCATGCATTAGCCATGCTGATTATACCAATAGACCATTACAGGCCGCGACACAGAAATTTTTGTAAACATAAAACCCTGTAATAATTGTAGTGTTTCATTTTACACTTGTACCTTTTAATCTATTATTTATACAGCCACATTGTAATGCCTACCTTACCTGCTCATATCTACATAAATGTCTGAGTATAATACAAGTGTCTCTCTCCTAGAAGGACGGCAGAATGCAGTGGCCTATATCTTAAAAAAAATATAAATCCAGTACTGTTCATTGGTAAGCACTAAAATAAATTGTTTTTTAATGAATTTTTACTTACATATTTGAATTATCAAATAACAATATCTAACATATTATGTTTACTAATATTACTATAAAATTTTCATGCTATGGCTTAAGATTATAGGTTTATTTTATTTAATAATGAAGTGTTGCTGTAATGCAGGCAAAATTCCCATTTTTTTTTAGACTTATAGATGCTGTATTCGAATAAATTAGTTTTTTAAGTCGCTAGATTATTTTATATTAGGGCATTACATATTATAGTTTAAAGAATATGGTAAAAGCCTGCTTATATCAATATAAATGCGTTTTATTCTGTATCATGGCTTTAAGTATGTTTTCTATTATACTTAGAGGATTATTTAGAAGGTATTTGTTAATTTTTAAGTTAATCTGTTACGGTAACATTAAAAAAGACCGTAATGGTTTTAATAAAAAAGTAATATTTGGTTCATAATATGTGAATATATATTATCTCTATGAAAACTACGTAACAGATACATCACAAACTTTATTTTGTCCATGAATATTTTATATTCGAGTTACGTGTACTAACATAGTGGTAATTATTCATGTCTGAGAGAGTTTTTACTTCAGCTATTTAGTCTAAGGCGCGGTTTATTTGAAATAAAAAGGTATATTTGGTTCATACGATTTGTTTTATGTTTAAATACAGCCAATATACTACAATATATGTTTACCCTTCTCAAGCTGACCTTTCCAATTCTGTGATCTTTTGGAAGAGGTTCAATTTTTAACAATTCAATTTCTTTTAAGCAAAGAATTAAATACCATAATTACTATTACAATAATATGTTTTAGATTGCAAAATATATTGTTTTACCTACATTATAGGTATTTTCTTTTTATAAAAGGGACTAATATATTTCTCATATGAATAATTAACGTTATAGTACCAACTCGTATTTAGCTTTGCTTACATTAGTGCTAACGATGCCTTACTTATCTCGAGATATTATTATGTTTGACGAATATCGCTATTATTTCATTACAATAAGGTTTAGTTTTATAATATTTGTCTCTGTTATTTATGGTCACATCTGTAACGTCTCACAGCAACGTTTGTGCATTTAAGTTCTGTATTACAATTTTAAATGGAACAATAATAGTATTAAAGTTTTATAATATGTCTACTAAATTTTTCTTTCTTTTATTTTCTTTCACAATTCAAGATTTTGCTACTCAAAGTTACTGGAAAGTTTTTATTTTCGTTTTGATCGAGCGATATCTCGTTTTGTCTGTATTTTGAGAAGCAAAAATCTCCATGTATGATATGACATTAAACCAACGTAGCTAGACCCAAGTTTAAGGTAGGGCAAAAGAACGTTTTTTAGTAGGGCAGAAGCCATATTTGAGCGAATTCGGAAAAGCGAATAAGTCTATTTTCTTGGTGCCTTTCATTTTAAGGTAGGGCTTTGAGCCTTTTAAGGTAGACTATTGCCCCTTACTGCAATAATAAATATACTCAATAAAAACATTTTTTTTTTTTATTAAAATTGCAAAGTATGTAAGGATGGAAATCAGGATATTTTCTGTGATATCCATGATCCCGTCGATGGTTACCGTTTTCCTTTAGGTGGGCCGTCAACTTGTTTGTCATTTAAAGTTATTCCTTTAGGTGGGCCGTCAGCTTGTTTGTCATTTACAGTTACTTGAGAAAAAGATATACCGAGATTCTTGTTCCAAGTTAAGCTAAGTTTTCTTTATTAGAAATAAAAAGGCTTTATTAGAAATAAAATCACCGCATGCGTCAGATTGTTTTAGTGAGCAATTCATCAGGTTGGCGGTTTGATAGAGGTGGCAGGCAGGTGACACGCATCCGCGTCGCCATTGTTAAACGAATAGATATTTAAAATAGCACCGTTACACGCCACGTGTCCATTGTCGTACGATTTAAATTCATAATTGCACTGTATGAGTGAAAAATATCGTGGCTGTTATTGAGTTATTATTTTTATATGTGACTAATATAATAAAATTTTGTAAGTAGCCGATGTCTGTACATGGCGGATATTTGAGAAAATAGAATATGAGCGGCTTTAATAAGACCAACAGATAGCCATAGAATAATTTTTAGAAATGTTGTCTGTCTGTCTGCATGTCAGAGGGAGACTGTACAAAAGTCGATTGGTTGGGTACCTCTGTCCCATTCGTGTTTCAACCGTGAAGCAGTTGTGTTTGCATGGCTGTGTTTCAGTTTGAAGGGTGGTATATGGCGTGAATTTACTGGGTACAGAGGAATAACACATGAGTCCTCAGGAATGGCAACGCATGGGGGGTATCATGGGCGAAACAGTACACTCTGTTATGTCCATGGTACTGCTCATGTCTATAGGCGACGGTTACCACTTTCCATCAGGTGGACCGTCAGCTTGATTGCCATTCTAAGTTGTAAAAAAAAAAATTTTTTTTCGGCATAATAATAAAACAATTGCATCAAATTGTGTGCGGTTTTGGCAGTTGTATTCCTGAAGGTTTAACATAAAATCTGGTGTTTATTTTATTTTGATATCCTGTCTAGTTGTGGTCTATTATTTCATTGGTAAATTTCTGAATTCCTCGCGTATGAGGTAGCGGGCAAAAGTTAGTCTTAAAAATATAAAAAAAAATTAGTCTCGATTAGAAAAAGGGTCTAGCAGGTGGAGGTTAGGGGGAAAACAACTTTTGTCGTGTCAGCCAGTTATACTGTAACATTATGATTTTTTTTTGTAATTAAACTATGCTAATTATAGTTTATGGGCCTCTGATCTTGATCTTGTCCTCAATTTCCGTCAGGTGAGATTGAAGTCAATAGCAAGATTTTTTTTTATAGTAAAAAATCTCATCCTAATCGCGCTGTCGCATAATTGATTTAATCATCATTTTAGTTATTGGTCATTTGGCCTAGGTATTATCATAGACTATCGATTTAGTATGAAACAAAGTTAAAATTCATAAGTAACCTATCACTGGATTTTGGATTATTATTTTTATTTTACGTCGTTTTTTATAAACATCTGCAATTTCTATAATTTTAATCCTTATCCGTCACGTGAAATTTCTTCGACTAACAATGCGAACGCACACCAATTGTGCGGACGAACAAAATGGTCAAATCGCGTGACGAACCAGTTGACCACGGCACCCCTGCACATTGTGGTTCAGCAGTCCACACTGAATGGAGACGCCTCGTGGGATGTGAAGGTAAGCCGTTTGATATTATAATCTCAGTATAAAAAATATTCCTGCAACTATCCCTTCATTTGAATTATAGTCATGAGCATATATATTTATTATTGTTATTTGTATTAAAGATATTCGAATTTTAAATACACTATCGGGGCTTAAAGCAAGGAAAATTTGGTCACAACCTGAGGGTCTACCATGAAATGTTTTTCGAAATTTCGGAGCCGAACGAAACACAAATTTAATGTCAAAATTATATAATACTTACCGTTTAAAAACATTAAAAATATGAAAATATTATTCCTTGGGACTTTTATGGTAGGATTTATGACGAACGAAATTTTAAGCTCCATTTACTGGCCCGATTTATGTGTGAACAAAAACACGAAACGAAAACGTCGACAATAAAAACAGGTATGTAGGTATTATTTACCTGCAATTTTCGTTGCGTTAAGTCCCGATAGTGTGTTTAAAATATGTCAAAAACGCAAAAGTTTAAAACTAATATTCAAATATATATTATTATCTTCTGAAGTAAATGTAGTTAGGTAAGAGCGTGAAGAAATTTTCTAGTAAGTTTGTAAACACAATTCTATTGTCATAATTATAATAGGTAAACAAAGTGTTTACAGAAATATTATTAGGCAGTACGTAAATAACAATTCAATATTTATTAATAATATTAAAAATGTCGCAGTTTATAAAACACTTTAAAGTTTGGGTTTTTGTACTTTAAACTTTAAAGTTTGTGTACACTTTAAAGGTGCTATAAATATTGCATTTTGCTTTCCGTCATGATAATAAAATAAATTATAAAAGTAACTAAAAATTTATGATATTGTGTAAAAAAAAATATTTACTATAATCTCTTATGTGGACGTATAGTAAATCCCTATATTTCGACAAAAAAATATTTTAATTTAATGTAGTAAGTAGAATTTGCATTTTAACCGATTTAGAAGGGACATTTGACGGTATTATTCGTTTTTATTAAATGTTTATATTAATTTTATTTATATTAAAGTAGTGTAGAGATCTTCGCCAATTGTAAATTTTGTGAAACTTCCTTTGCATCCTGAGGTGGGCACTAGACAATTCTGGGTCAGGCACAGTTCAGCTGGCTCCCTTAAATACGTCTATAGATGACCCTGAATAAATTATATTTTACCTGCATCTTATAAACTAATATCTTACAATCATGTAATGGGGGGGGGGGGGGAAGGATTGTTAATAATGGGGATTTGTAGCTTTCCCTGGAAACTATTGTGTTCTATTCCAAGTGAATTCATAATTTGCCTTTTCATTCTCACCTATCTTCCCTCACCGGTGGTCCGCCAGCATATACCGTTAGCGCGGGCGAGGTTACCACTCCATTATCAACCATTAAAAAAATAATCATGCGACATAGGCGAGTATTGTTCTAGGATTCTGTCTTTTAATAGTCTTTTGAGTCAACGTTTTTTACATCACTATTTCGAATATATTTTGATCATCTTTTTTTATGGAATGCATCTGCGCTACGTAGACAGGGTTATCATACCATTTTCATACACATTTAAGGACATAATGCATAGGACACGATCCAGACTAATACAAACAAAATTAACAAATATGTACTTACGAATGAATTGTGCGGAATTGAACCCGAAACCCAGGGGTGCGTTTACCAGTAAGCTGAGTAGACTGGAGCCTAGAGCGGTAGATTTTGAGATAATATTTTTTTGTAATCATGAAATTACAATTTCATTCGCAATAAAAATATAATTAATAAGATTATGACGGCGGTATTGAATTGAGAGGTCAGTGAGGGTCACCGTCGCCGCCCGCAATCATCGAAATCGCTATATCACTAAGGTCGTGGAAAATATATTATCATCATCATCATATCAGCCTAACTATTTACTGCTGAACATAAGCCTCCCCTTTAGGGGTTTGCCAGTAATTGCCACAATTGGCAGGCGAATTAGCAACCGTAGTTACGCTGTGTGGCATTGAGAGAAAAAGATAAAGATTACGTAGCTTACTGATATATATAAATACATAAACACACAACTATGAGTGTATACTGCTGAACATAAGCTTAGTAGAGCTTTCAGGCAAGTTCAGCATAGCGGCGGAATTTTTTTTTCGCATTTCTACAGGTACTTGTTTCTTTAGGAAAAATATTTAGTTTTATTGATGAATATTGATTTCCATTTCTCTCTGTATATATCATCTTTTCAGCCATTAACTGTCCATTGCTGAACCTAAGCCTTTCCCAAAACCTCCTTTCGTTTTGCCAGGAGTTGCTAATATTGGTAGGTGAATTGGCAATCATTTTTTAATATTTCAAAACGGCATGTATTATGTAATTATAACATAAAATTTCTGTTTCATTTAGCTCCGAAATTTCGGAAAACATTTCATGGTAGGCTCTCAGATTTGCTCGCGTAATAATATGCAAGTCACATATAAGAAAATAGGCGAGCCTATAATTTTTTATTTTCACAATATTCCGTTCAGGAATTGAATTTTGGATTTTATATAAAATTACTATACCTACTGATAATTCGAAGCGTAGCTTACAATTAGTAGTTGTAGGCTTGTCAAAATCTAGGTCAACTATACTATTGGCTGTAGCTATTGAATTCGGTATTTGGATCGTGAGGATAACGGTGATCGATAAATTGCCATTGTCAATAACCAACCCATATGGAGCGGAACGTCTGTCCGTCTGTCACACGCTTCCAGCACAAAACATTGTATAGTCTATGGGAATTTTGTATAGTGTATTATTTATTATATGAAATATAAACCAGTAAATAGTACCTATTTCTATGTATAAAATTTTTTTTAATGGAAGATAATGGAATTATAACCTCGCCTGCGCTAACGGTATATGCTGGCACAGCATCAGTAAGGGATGATAGGTGAGAATGAAAGGCGGGTCAGTTATCCCATTTTGATAAATAAAATTCAGTACGATGGTTTCCAGGGGGGACCCAGTGAAGGTCAATCTGACAGAGTATATTGCTAGCAATGGGGCTGGTAGTCTGCATTACTAACAATCCCTTCCCCTCTATATAAATTATTTAGGTATTCATGCCTTTTTCTTATGTTTAACACATACGTTTATTATATTATTTGTAACCTTCAAGAAAAGAGCATATTGTTTTTTAAAAGCTTGGTAACAGGCCTGCAATTCTTTCTTGTAGGCACTTATCATCAGGCGAGCTGCATGCTTGTTTGCCTTATGTGTTATAAAAAAATATTTATATATTTTCAATGTTGTTGTCGTATGTAGGTTTTACTAAGCTATCAAGTTAGCATGTTCGTTTTAAAAGTGGCTAATTTTGATGATTTTTTTATGGTTCCAATAAATACATTTTAATTCATTTATGTAAAAGCAAGCTTTTCCTTTATTTTCAACTCAGGTTTTGAGCTAGTTTTCAACCGAACTTCAAAAAAGGAGGAAGTTATTAATTCGGTGAATTTTTTTATGTTTGTTACCTTATAACTCTGTCAGTTATAAACTGATTTGGAAAATTTGTTTTTTTATCCAAAAGGGTATACTTTCAGATTGGTTCCACAGAAATTTCATCAAAATCTATTCAGTAGTTTTTAAAATAACTGATTTTGCTACAATGGAAGTCGGTTTTTTTGTGGAACAAAATCTTAAATTATATAAGAGACAAACGAAAATATGCTGGATGAGGGAAAACAGGGTTAGATCTAGCCCTGAAAGAGCTAAATAAGCAGACAACAAAGATCCTATGGGTGGCGAAATTATAGGTATAGGTATGTAGGTATACTTTAAAATATGTTGCGATCTTACTCTCTCTTCAGTCGTATACTCTTGTGTTTTTGCATGGCTGTGTTTCGGTTTGAAGGGTAGGATATAGCGTGAATTTACTGGGTACAGAGGAATAACACCTGAGTCCTCAGGAATGGCAACGCATGGGGAGTGTCATGGGCGAAACAGTATATTTTGTTATGTCCATGGTACTGCTCATGTTACCACTTTCCATCAGGTGGGCCGTCAGCTTGTTTGCCATTTTAAGTTGTATAAAAAAAAAAGAAAAAAAGTGAATGTGTAGAGTTGTATGTGTAGGGAAATTAGAAGAGAGATGGATGGTTTGTGTAAAAAACGGGATTGCCAGATACGATTTCCGATTCTTACCTAAATGTTAAATATTTTTCTCCAAATTATAATACGATTTCGTTTACTTAGTCACAGACCTGACAGTTTTCATTACGTTTTGTATTGCAATTATTACACGAATCATGAAAAAATGAATAAACGCTGATCTGAACGTGTGACTTCCTCACCTCATATGTCACATTGCTATCTTCATTGATATATTTTATGAATTTATACACTGTTCTACGGTCTCCAAAGCATCAAAACAGTAAAAAGAACTTGTAAAGATCTACGTCCATTTCATTTCTGTCCATAAATTTGTTTTTTAAATATTTAATTTTCTCAAAATTTCGCGAATACATAAATTTTTACCAAAATTCCGAAAAAAGACCTAAACTGGCAATGTTGATCAAAGATGATATGGCCAGAAAGGGAGTGAATACTTAAATGGCTGCAAAGAGTAATTATGGAGGAAAAAAACATTGTGTCGATTTCAAATAGAGATGAGACAAGGATAGGAAGATGATGATGTTGAAATTATATAAAAGTTTATATATATAAACACTTTCATATATCGATATGAGTATTTATTTATTACAGTGAGATGAAATAAGTAGGTAACCGTAGATTTTAATAGGGTATTATTTCCCTACAATCGAAGTTATTTACATACCTATTACAAATCAAAATTATTATAATATGTAATGCAATGTCATTCAACGGCTCCAACTGAAAGTGGACAATTACGAGCAGCTAAAATAATTATGTTTACCTTCAAATGTTAGGCAAAAGTCAAATTGTGGCCTCTATCCGATATAATATGACGATAATCACGGTTGGCCGGACCGCGCGACGCTTCCGTCCGATTTCATCATCCTGCGCCCGCGCCGGTCACTAGCTCGGGAAATGCGTCAATATATGGATATTATGTTATTATTATTATAATTACTGCGAAAGTACACAAATGTGGGATTAGAGGTGGCGTAATGGGTTTATAAAATTGCTTTTCGTATTTCCAATTGCTATTATTAAGAATATTCTATTATTTTTGTAATGTGAAAGTTGATGAAATATATATGTTTTTTTTTTTTTTAATGGATGATAATGTAATGGTCGCCCCGCCTGCGGTATTGGGATACGCTGGCGTGGCACCAGTAAAGGAATCATCCTTCACTGGGGCCATGCCAGCGTATCAAGGTGAGGATGAAACAGGCCAGTTGGCTCGTCAACAGCTGATACAAATAAAAAAAAGTAATTATAGAATACGAAAAACATTAAAAAAGAAGGTAACAGCTTTGTGATGAGATATCAAAAATAACTACATGATAATTTAAACCTAACACGGCACTAATTTTTAGTCGAGGCTTCGTCCATAATGTATAGTTTTAGAAAATAATATTTATTTTTTAATGTTTCAGATTCAGAATTCTGGGTAAAATGGAGTTTAAGAAGATTTTCGTATTTTTGTGTTGTCTTCTGGCTCAGTCTGCATTTCCTCTTGAAATTCAACATTCATACGAGCAACATACAGAGGTACTTGCTACATAATTTCTATTATTAAATTTATTACAACGTACTTGGCCTGAGTTTTTATTATACAACTTAGAATGGCAAACAAGCTGACGGCCCACCTGATGGAAAGTGGTAACCGTCGCCTATAGACATGAGCAGTACCATGGACATAACAGAGTATACTGTTTCGCCCATAATACCCCCCATACATTGCCATTCCTGAGGACTCAGGTGTTATTCCTCCGTACCCAGTAAATCCACGCCATATCCCACCCTTGAAACCGAAACACAGCCATGCAAACACAATTGCTTTACGGTTGATACACAAATGGGACAGAGGTACCCAAGCAATCGACTTTTGTACAAAGTCTCCCTCTGATAATTATTTAATTCATTGGCATATTTAAGATTATTTTCCTGTGTGGGGCTGACCCTTTAAAACAGGCGCATATGTGTTCTTAAATATGTTTGCCCATAGCTGAAAGGTATACTTCTGAGTCTAGAGTGAACATAGCCTACTTGCCTCCTCTTCTTTAAAACGTCTATGAGTATTTTAGACATAGGTATACACTCAAATAAATCCCTATAAAGTCCAAGAGAAATTAATTCTTTCCATTCTCTTTCCACTCTCTTTTTTTTCATATTCTCTTTTCGGTTAATTACTTTCATGGACGGTGTTGTCGTCAAATAAAAAAAAAGAATTTTAAAAGAACACTAGTAATTTACAAATTATATAGTGCAAAATTCTTCTTAAAAACTATTAAGTTTATATTTGAGTGGCCAAGTCCCAATAATTATTAATATAATTTTTACTATTATTTTTGTATATGTTTTAATTTCCTAATATATGTCATGAGTAGGTCTCATCTATTAATTTTTAAATGTCTGAATTTACAGTTGCATTGAAGAAAATATCCTCATGAGATGTATTTGGTAAATTAATACCTTAAGACTAATTAAAACAATATTTTACTTTGACTATTTCATATTTCCAGCTAAGCGTAGATGAAACGGCTAGAGGGCGGCGTGATGTCATCGAAGAAGAGAAATTTTATAACATGCATTCTGATGTGCGAAAAGAGAGCCATAATAATATAAACCATCAGAAACCATGGATTCCGGGTCCACTGCCTCCTAACGAAGATCAAACGACTAAAATATCAATTACTAATCCTGAAGTCAAGGAAGTACTGCCTCTGTATCAGACCACAGAGAGAGTTACAGACAAACCAACAGGTCGAGGGGCGAGGGCGTCCAACGAGAACTGGATTAAACTGCCTTACCCTGATCGGGATGAACCACAAAGAAACGATGTTCTAACACCACCACAGCCTTCTGGGGACTTGATTAACTCCAGGATGCCAAGGGTTAATTTCGTGACTCAGAACAAACAGTTGGAAGCGTCTGAATCTCGCAACGATAAAGAATCGATTCAGAGATCAAGAAACGATGATATTCGAACGGAGTTCGTACGTCCTGGCGAGGATGATAGAAATAAGCCATATAAACCCGTGTACCCACGACAAGCAGTATATTACCCGGCGGAGTCGAGGCGACCGTATTACGATGATCGATATTATCCAGCTGATGATTTATACAGGCGAGATCCTTATTATGATTTATACGATCGAAGGCGATATATCCCGGGATATGTCCCGAGAGTCGATAGATATGATGATACTGTCGATAATTATGTCCCTAGAAAACCAAAAAGGATTATTTACTATGCCCATCTACCTGAAGTTGTTCGGACGCCACCAAGTGTTGACTTGCGTTATAGATACTCCCCGGATCCTTACAGACGCTTCGATGATGATTACTACGCGAGATCGGGTAGGTACGACTACAGATTTAGAAATAGATACCCTTACGCTCCTCTAAGAAAAGAGGAAAGGAATTATAGAGATTTGGCCGGAGCTGGTACTGCGAACAAAGATAAGAAGGTCGAGGAAAAAGTAACACCTACAGCTGTTCTTCCGAAGAAGGAGGAGAAATTCAAAAATAATTCCAACGATAGGAATATTAATAGGAATTTAATTAACAGTCATCAGTATCACGACAGTCAAGGTATTGACTACAATGATCAGTTAACCCACAAGTCCTTTCAAGACGTCATGAGGCCAGACGACGGATATTTAAGATTTGAAGAGCCTCTATTCCAAACTGCGATAGAAGATCCATACCAAAGAAAATATTAAACAATTTAGTTGCAATCAGCTATCGTTTTGGGCTCGTTATTTAATAGTTGAAAACTAGCCAGGAATGTTACCGATGTTGCTTTGTGTCTTCAGCATTTAATAATAAAACTGTAGTATTTATTTATAGATGTAAATGTCATAATGCATTACAATTTGAATGCAGATTTTACAAACTATTGGTGTAAGTTGCCGCTAATAAATGTAATTACGAATGCTCTCGTTTTAATTGCAACACAAGGGGTGGAGTCGCGACAAATTGTACAAGCTATAAATCGAGCGTTTAAATTAAAACACGGGAGGGTGAAGATGAATTTCATTAAGAATTAATTAATGTCATTCTTAAACCGTTTTTGTTTTTCCGCGCGAATAAAAAACATCTGTCGAGATGTCGGGCACGACGTGTTTTCTTGAGGTAATTAAGCAATAAATTTTGTGGCTGGCAACATCTCGAGGTGGGGGCCAATTACAGTGCGCATTTAAGAAAATGAATGTTCACTTGAGATGCTCCGGCTACAAAACCAACGTGACTAATTAGAATTGAGGGCTTAGAAAAAATCCAACGACGTGACAGCTTGTAATCAAGGGGATAGATTTGGTTTTTTATTTTTTTTCACTGGTCGAGGCAGAAGCGGTCGCGGATTAATGGGGCAGCGATAAATTTAACGGTAATTAAATGTCTTGCTGGGGTTCGCGGCCGGGGCGAAAGGCCTGAGCTCCTGAGACTTTGTAATATTGGCGAGTTTTAAAGAATTAGCTTGTTTAATTTAGTCATAAGGATTGGACAAATAATAACATACTTTGATGCATTTAGCTATATTTAAAGTAAATAAATTTCGTAGATCTCATTGTAATATTTTTATTATAATTCGATCTACAAAATATAGTATTAAACTGTAAAAAGATAGAAAACGTAAACATATTAAAAATCCCGTTAATACCATAATTACGAATAATAATACATATTAATTATATTAATAAGACTATAATTATTAAAATTAGGATTTTATGTGAAATTACAATAACATTGATCCAACCAATAATGAAATAATTTGATTTAAAGGTATAATATTATTATTTATTATATATTATATATATTATTTTTGAATGCATACTTTTATCAATAAGTACTTATATAAAATACCTTATATTTATCCAAATATCAATTTATCGAGCAAACAGACGGGTCAAAGCGGTATTGCCACAATCGTGCACTGATGAGTTGAATTATTTATGGGTGGGCTCTGTGAGGTGACCACGCGTCGTGATTGCTCTGAGATTCCTGGAATTCGTGTCTCGAGGACGAGCAGTAATTAAGTTTGCGAACTGTCCGAGTCGCTTGATAGAGTTGCTCATTACTAATAATATATGGGTTCAATATAGCTATGATAGAGAAAACATAATATTCTTTCATAAAATATGATTTTTGTCTACGATTATGGAATAAATAAATCAAAATATTAAGTTTAGATTATCAAAAATGTATATAAAACACTCTATAGATATTTCAATGAAAAAATACAGAGAAAAATAAAAACAAACGTGTTTATTAATAACTTTAGAAATTTATTTAATTGACTACTTTCGAGTATAATTAGTACAAATGAATTACATCTCCAGGTAGCTTTTTTGCATTTGCTTCTCGATAGTATTGAAACACTGTTTCTTCTAGTCAAAAGTGATCTTTGTGAAACATGTCTTTTTTTTAATTTTTAGCGGTGACCTGAATTTTATAGGAGGCAATTTATATCCTAATTAGCTGTGGTTGTGACTTTGCTCGCGTGACGACTATATGTCCTCTTCGATAATAGTACTGTATAATAAATAACACAGTCCGGTAAATAACACAGTGGAACAAAGTGTAAGTATTTTGAATAATATCATAACAGTTGATATAATAAAGTTTCAACAAATACAAATAATTTTATTTTCTTTGATACATGTAAAATATGTAATTAATTAAATATTTTAAAATATTTTTTATTTAGAGGCATTTATCCTATAAGAATATGTCAGCCCCATCATACCTTAACTTTAATTAGTTATTTCACTTACTAAAATAGAGTTAATCATTAATAAAAAAAAACAGGAATTAAAGATTTTGCCGAAAATTTGCCAATTTTGCCTTTTTTATTTCGTTAGAATGTAGATCAGCGTGTATATTTCAAAATAATTCAATATCTTATCTATTTAGACTATATTTCTGTACTAAGGTTTCTCTTTCTGTTTTTTTTTTATTATTTTTTATGTTCGGATATCATATGTTGAACATCATCTAATGTGTTACGAACATCACAATTTGGGTGATTAACTTTTTTTTATAAGATATGCGAATTTTGCATTTGGATAATATCCTGAGCGTAATCTATGAGTTGTGATAACGAAATTTCTGCTTTCTTTTATGTTTATGAACCATGGTATCCGTGGAAATTAATTTGATTGCGCCATGAACATCAAAGACGGTCACAACAATTAGTTACAACACAAGCAGTGAAGTATTCCTATATTCTTTCTCATACCAAATACCATGTGCATGTCAAAGTTCCAGACTATGCTTATACTATTAAAAAACTAGAAGTAACAAACTCACTTTCAAATTAGTTAGAACGTATATTGTATTTTTAATAATATCCCACTGCCTTCTTTTCTCATAGTCACCCTACATAAAGGGGTTATGAGTTGACAACCCTTGACCGGTTACATAACGCCAGTTGTCTTGAGGCAAAATTCATTACCGAGTCAGTCAAATTGCTGAAGAGCCTAATGTAATCCGAACGGTAAACGCGAATGCTAATTGGCAACCCTGTGGTAGCCCGAAGGGATTTACTGTACGATATTGTTACTAGTAAATTGTACATCTTTACTAATATTATTAATGTGAAAGTGAGTTTATTTGTTACCTACCCCTTAAGGCCTTAACGGATTAATTGAACACTGTGTTGTATGGGATGGAGAAGAATATAGAAGAATATATACTTTTTATCCCGATTAGTAATTAGATATTCCAGTCACGCGGACGGAGTCGCAGGTAGAAGGTAGTATCACTACATAGTATAAAATAAAGTCGCTGTCGGTGTCTATCCGTTCCTATGTATGCTTAAATGTTTAAAACAACGCAACGGATTTTGAAGCGGTTTTTTTAATAGATAGAGTGATTGAAGAGAAAAATTTATATGTATGATATAGTAGAGGAACCCTGATAATTTTAGAGATTTCTAATGTGATGAGATGTAGTGTGCACCCGTGCAAAGCCGGGGCGGGTCGCTAGTATAATATAAAATACTATAATTTTTTTACCAGAGGGAGACTGTACAAAAGTCGTTTGCTTGGCCACCTCTGTCCATTTATTATTTATTTACTCTTTTTTCTTCTTCTTTTTACCATTTAATGAATAATATATAAAAATTACATATTTTTTTATACAACTTAGAATGGCAATCAAGTTGACGGCCCACCTGATGGAAAGTGGTAACCGTAGCCTATAGACATGTACAGTACCATGGACATAACAGAGTATACTGTTTCGCCCTTTGATACCCCCCATGCGTTGCCATTCCTGAGGACTCAGGTGTTATTCCTCTGTACCCTGTAAATTCACGCCATATCCCACCCTTCAAACCGATACACAGCCATGCAAACACAAATGCTTTACGGTAGAAACACGAATGGGACAGAGGTACCCAAGCAAACGACTTTTCTACAAAGTCTCCCTCTGATAATATGAAGTATAAAAGGCGGTTTTATCGCTAAAGCAATTTCCTTTAGACAATCTTTGCGTAAAAGAGAAAAGAAAAAGACGGTAGCTACTTGGTGCAAGAAGTGTATTTAATAAAAAAAAAACGCTCATGATAATAAAACATATGCAAACAATCATATGCATACACATGCACATACATGTAGCAGTATATAAAGTAGCAGTATTAAATACTTATAACAGTATATATTACATAATAAGATATATAAAATAGATAGCATACATTTAGATATGTATATTTTTATAACACAAGGGACAAACGAGCATGCGGCTCACCTGATGGTAAGTGACTACCGCCGCCCATAGTCACCCACAACACCAACGGCATTGCAGGTGTGCTGCCGGCCTTTTAAAAAGGAATATGCTCTTTTCTTGGAGGTTATGATGTCGTATCAGTTCGGAAATACTGCTGCTGGAACTTGATTTCAAAGTGTGGTTGCACGTGAAAGTGCCTTGAAAAACGCATGGTGGAGGACCGCCACTCATCCGGATAGTTGGGATGGATGGGATCTAGTTTGTTAATTGACTGATGATGCCTCAAATGTTGGCAGTTGAATTCGAATAAAATAATTAAAATCCACTACAAATAAATTCTCCCATAGTACATATTATACTATATAATTATTAATTTAGCCCATGGCGTCTTTACCCATCAAACGATTGACCCTTACAACTCCCAATGCAATCTCAAAACATTGTTACGGGCTGTGAAGACCCTAAACATGGACGCATGATGGTAAATAGCGGACAGCGGCGCGACGCTAGCGACATCACGACACCGAAACTATTTAACATGTCAATAACAATTTGCCGAATTGCTTTTATGTTGTTTGGGTATGATAGTACTGTAAAGGGGTGAGACTAGGGTTATTACTACGGAGTTCATATTATTTTTAAAATTTATGTTCATTTTTTAATATATATAATATTAGGAATTTAATGTGTGAGGTGAGACGTTGCGATGTAAGGACCGGACTCACAATCATTTTTGTAGAATAAAATTTAAAATTATTATACGTAATATTTCTTCATAAAAGGTAGGATGATTGGGATAAGAGTATCCTATGACATTCTCCAACTCAAATTTTATATATAATACCAAATGCGCTAAGAGATAACAAATAAATAAAAGAAATCATTTTCACATTTATAATATTAGTAGGTATCTATGTATAATAAGTTTTAATCCACTGTTAAATTAAGATATCAGTTGATTACCAAAATAGGACTACAATAATTTTCATAATGATTTATGTTTTTAAAATATTAATGTCATTGACAACCCTAGTAACTTAAACATTCCTAAAGTCAAGGGTCGAGCAGTGTCCCGAGTCCTGACTGCAATCCCGGGACACTCCGGGAAATTGATAATTTTCTCCCGGCTAATAACCTAACCGTTACGTTAGTTATTCATTAAAGTAGCTATGATCCGGGTCGCTCCTGTTATTAATATTTATAACCATTGTCCCT